TATGTCAGTTTGAGAGTGAATCTCCTTCACAACTTCCCACCAATGGTCTAGCTGGGGAGGGAGTTTCTTTAGCCAACGCCGTGTAATAGCTTTTTTGCTTACAATTGATAGAACATTAAAAGTTAAAGATTATTTTAATAGTCGATTAATTAGCATTAATCTGATTACTGTTTCAGTCCTTAATAAAGGTGTTTAAAAAAAAATAGAAAATAAGAGATCTAGATGGATGGTAAATAGTTAGATGAGGTCAGAATCCCAGTTTCTGTCACGCCAAAACGAATAGCTAGCACTTGACTAATGACCCACACATTTTACAGACTTTATTTGTAAAGCGATGAATAAAAAAAAAAACTACTTTTTTGCCAGAGTTTCATTCAAAGCATTCAGTGGTAAACTATTAAGGTTAATTAATCAGGCTTAGCCTTGTCTAACTACATTTAGAGAGAGTTATTTGTAAAGTGGAACTTTCAAAACAATAGAAACTCATGTATTGACTTTAGTTACAGTGACAGCATTCAGACCTGCTCTATATTCAAAGTCTATCCTGCATCATGAAGAGGAAAATCATTAAAAAATAAAGATAAATGCTTGAATCCGAAACTTTAGGTAAATCTACGACATATTTAAAATCCACATCTGTATGTACTTCACTTCTCCTTTAATAAAAGTGGACATCAAATTAAGAAAGGATGGAAAAAAGGTAAGTTGTGTGAATGTCAAGCCTAGAAATTAGTGTTTCATATAGATATACTATAAATATTTTTAACATTTAAACCACATCATTTTGTTATGCTTTATGGAAATGCTTATTAGACCAAAACAAAATAGTTGGCTTATGGAAACAAAATGATGCGGTTTCTCCTCATGTTAATATTTACAAAGTGTGTTTCACATCTGCATTCAGGCAACATGACTCAAAATTTTGTAAAACCATGTATAGAAATCTCAGCTGCAGGTATAATATTGGAAGTGGAGTGTCTATAAGCATTTTTCAAGGCTTGTATTCGATTTTGAGTTAGATTTAGGTAACCTTGACTAGGTTATTTTTGACACATAAACATGCTTTGATCTTAACACTATATCTATGCCTATATATTTAGGGTGCATAGGCGGATCTACTGGGGTGGCATAGGGTGGCAAATGCCACCCTAAATGACAGCCTTGCCACCCCAGCTGCCACCCCAGTTGGCGGTAGGGGTGGCGAGGCTTATAAATTATGGATCATTTGAGAATTACGACCGCTAATTTCTAATGTCGGACTGCAGTGAATGCAGCACGAGATGACGTGAGAGCGACTGAGACTGATTGTTTTGAAAACCGAATGGGGCAAAGCGAGGGAGCCAGGGGTGATGGGGGGAGGAGACACGGGATGAAACAGGTAAAAACTGATCAACTATCTATCGAGAAATAAAATCATAATGAGAGCACAATGCTGCTAGCATAGCTGCAATGCTGATTTTGAGATGATAAAAATCAGGTTGCAGAACGTTATTTCTCCAACTATGATGTTAGTTAGGCCTGACGTCTCAGGCTCAGAAAGACATATTTGCGGTCAACTATGACAGAAAAGAGACGATCAAGTTTGTTTTACTCAAATCAAAACGCACAAAGGCATTGGATCTAAATACATTAGTGAAGCGTTTTGCTGAGCATCATGGAAATCACTGCATTCAGCTGTTATAGTCATGTTAACTTTATGTTATGCTCTCTGGTGAGCCTTTACAGAGCTGTTACATTTTGTTTTGGCACCTGAGAAAATCTGATATTTCCTTTAATAAAACCAAAAGTGTTAAAAGTTAAAATGTGATACTGGTGTAAATCCTGCTTAATATGAAGCAGTGTTGTTGTTTCTTTTTTTGTATATATAATATGAAACTATCCAGAAATTACCCGTATGAACCTACTCACAAGCAAAATGTATTTGTTGCTTCTTTTCAGATTTGTGGAGATTTTGATGTAACATACAGAACCCGCCTTTTTGTTGATTTGTTGATACAGCAGTATGGAGGACCAACTCTGCCATATTTAAAAATAAATACAGAAATAAATAAATGCTCAATAAATAAATAAGCATACAATTAATTGCCACCAAAAATACAAACAACAAATAAATGTAAGTAGAAATTAAATTATACAGCTAGTCATAAAGGTACATCACTCTTTTAATTGGCTTCTTTATTTCTTTGCCTTTTTAATATTTACCTTATTTTTTTTTTTGTCATTTATTATCTTCAACTTCATTTTTTTATTACTTATATTTTTAAGTATTTATTTATGTGCATGTTATCATATTTTTGTCTGTTTTATTCTTCCTTTGTATTTTTTTTACCCTAGTTATTTCTTCGCCGCTATTTCTTTCTGCCTGCCCTTTTAACATTTCTGCCTGCCATTATAATATAATTTCTAATTACATTTATTTGTTGATTGTATTTTTGGTGGCAATTAATTGTATGCTTATTTATTTATTGAGCATTTATTTATTTCTGTATTTATTTTTAAATATGGCGGAGTTGGTCCTCCATATACAGCTCTATCTACAGCATATTTACATGCATGAAATGTCCCTTTCATGTTGCCTCAACTGCTGTATGTCAAGTTACTGAGGAAAAAATGGGGTAAATGTGTGTTCAGAGTAAACATTACATAGATGTCCAGTACCTTGTTCGGGTGCCTTGACCCATTTATTTCTACTGTGTAGTTCTGCTCACTTTAGTACAGCTCAGTCCATAGATCTCTGATGGGAAACTTTTTCTTTGTATCGTTTCTTCTTGTGCAAATGCTGCAAAGCTGCCTCTCTGACAGTCAATCTCATACATCTGCGACTCAGCACCTGTGTCTTACCTTAATACCTTTCCTGTCATAAGGCCCCTCTAGAAGTAGTGTTATCATTCTTCTATCTCCCATTAAGTGAGATCTCATTGTACGATGTATTATTAATATGAACTGTTTCACATGAAACACTAGTACTGTACATACTATTCTCACCAAACTGTGATAACTGATTAAATTCAGTGTAAACAAATGCCATATGTTGCCACCCCTAAAAAATTCCTGCCCCCCTCTTGCCACCCCATAAATATTTTTCTAGATCCGCCCCTGTTAGGGTGGTTATTGTGTTGGAAGATTAAACTCCGCCCCTTTGGCAGAATTTTTTCAGGATTGTCTCATATCTAGAAACATCTATCCTGTCATCAGCTCTAATCAGCCTCTATGTTTGGGGAAGCATCGCCATAGCATGATGCTGCCGTCGCCACTCTGAAAATGTATGTTCAGAGTAATGCTTTATGTTTTTAGGCTACATATCAATTTCAGTTTTGGCCTCATCTGACCAGGACCCGTCTTCCTCCACAATTTTGCTGGATCACAAAAGGGAGCGTGTGCCAAATATGACCTCCATTCGCTTTCTTCCCGCTACCCTTTCATATAGATCATATTTGTGAAGAGCAGAACCAATATCTGCTCTTCAAAGAAAAATTCTCCCAAATGAGATTGGTTGAACTCAGAGATAGAGTGATACAACAGCAGCTGGCTGAAATTAGCGTATATTTTCTAGCATCAGAATTGGCTGATACATGTGTACTTTCGCGATTCATTGGTGCGTTCAGCTAGCCTCGTGAGACCATCCTGATCTCGCGAGCTTTCAAGATTTCACTCGCTAATCAGTCTTGAGACTCTCCGTTAAAGAAAATTTGGAGCAGTTCACCAAACGAACGTCTAATCAGCGTTGGCTTTTAGGGGCGGGTTGAGGTGTGACGCAACGAGAAGCGCGACAGTTCAGTCTAAAGAACATGGTGGCTACAGCCGATGAAACTAGCGTTAGCGTGGCTATCGAGCAAGTTTTATCGGAATTACAGAGTATTTCTTCACTGAAAGAAGAGCAAAACACTGCTCTGGAGGCTTTTCTCAGAGGAAAAGATGTTTTTGCTCTTCTCCAGACTGGTTTCGGCAAGAGTTTGATCTATCAATTGGCTCCTCTTGTCGCTCTGTTAGTACGTCATACGCTTCGTTGATCTTATTGGTTTATTTGGCCCGTCTATCACCAACATAGACCAATCAGCTAGCCAGTGTTTTCGCCCCTTCCCAAAATTACTTCAACGGAAGGTTTCCAGATGGATATGCGGAGCAAATCCATCTGGAAATCTGTTGCTGCCCCCATTTGCTGTCCATTATCACTGTGGTTTCTTTGATTTGTTACAAAATTATTTATTTATTTTTTTTATTTCACATTTTTGTAAAATTTTTATCATGTAAATAAAGGAGGAGGAAGCAATATTGGCTTCAACCCTCCGGAAAAAAAAAAACAAAAAAACATCGAGAGCAAATATCAAGGATCGGTTAGAATGTCAAAAGAATATGTATCTACATTGGCCTTGAAAATACCTGCATCAGTAGATCTCTTCTTTTCTCCCTAATCTGACCCAATATAAGACATCAAGGTTTGAAATTTTACTGTAACAAAATCTGAAGAAAAGTAAGTTTGTAAGGCTGTGTTACACAATTTGTTTTTACTAAATAAAACAAAGAGCTCAGTTTCTCTCATTGAAAAAAAAAGATCATCCCATTTCTAGTTTTGCAGCTGGCAGATTTATCTTCATTTGTGTAATGTTATCATAGTAATAGAAGCATCCTTCTTTGTGTCGAAGCAGTGGATACAGAGCAGTGAGGGAAATGTGCGCATGCAGCTCATGCGTAGTTTCATGGAATCAGATTTATGGGACCCATCATAAAGCAAGGAGGGTTAATGGGGGTCATGTGGAGCTCTGCTAAACAAACCGCAGCAACTACTTTTATCTGTAAATGTAAATTCACATCCACATGCAGAGGAGGTGCCTTCTAAATGTACGGGTGATGATGGATTCAACTGGATTCCTGTAAAGTGATTTGACTTAAAAAGTTATGTTAATCATGTGAAAACAGCTTTTATCTATATGTGCATGCAGGTATGCTTCTATAATGGAAGGGCTAAAATCAGCTGGGTTTACACAAGATTGGAGGCTCACCTTGCGCTTGTGATGTTCAGGTCTCACAGTATTCTTAAAAGGAGGAATGAAAACACAGACACAGCTTTACTTGTTGGTTTTGGGGGAACTTATTCCACCTTTTTATATAAACAAAGCCTTCGCTGTAGGTCTGCGGCTCATTTTAGAACAGTTAAACTGATTTCAAATCAGCCATCAGCCAAACATCTTTACAGAGGAAACTTAAGTGGACCAACCTCCTATCGTCTTAGCCTCGCATACGGTCATTAGAGAGAGAGCAGGCCTGTTGGGTCCTGTGTGGGAGTTTTTGGGACAGGAGAAAAGAAGAGCAGACGGCTGCTGCTGCCACACTGATGACTACAGTCCAATAATGTGCTGCTAATTGTAGGAGGCTGTCCAACATGTGACCCACATAGACAATGCCGGAGGCAGTTATAAATCTCTGCTGCTCAGCTTCCATCAGGCACAAGCAGAAATAACAAACTATTTTTGATGAGGCACAAATTCCTAAGACCGCTGACGTCGTTAGACTCAAATGAACCAGTCTTCTATCATGACTTTAAAAAGTATTTTGTAACTTGTTGATTTAAAGAAAAAGAATAATGCAAAAAAAAAAAAAAAACTATACAAAGAAAACTCTAAAACTAAAGTTAGAATATAATGTCCTACAGTTTTCTTCCGTCTCCTAGAGAACTCTAATGTTCGGCTCCTTTTATGAACAGAAACCTCAGTTTCTTTCAGGTCTAGGGGTGCACATGTTAGGATATAACAACGCAGTCTGCTTCTAAAGTTAATTAAATCAAACTTGCACACACAGAACAGATCCCACACCGTCATAGTTCATTAAATTGAGATGATTTTTTTTAACATACTCCATGCTGCTTCCTTCAGAATTAGAAGTGAAATGAGCAGGTGCTACTATTTATACGCATCGACTCGCAGATCATTAGCAAGTCAACTGGTGTTGGAGCTCCAAAAAAAAAACTATATTTGCAAAGATGCATCTAAATAGTTGATTTGGAATGCTTAATTTGGACATAATAGGCCAAAGTTAAGATAGTTATGAGCACAAAGACCAACAGGTAGGCATGGAGATGGAAAGCTGATGATTTGGGCTTTTTTTCCCAGACACGGAACATAAGTCCTGTAGGAATATCTCTGCGTAGATAAACAGTTTATAAACAAATCTGAGGCCAGGTCTGACCGCTGAAGCTTGTCCCAAACTTGGTCTTCAGTGGGACAAAGATGTCAAACACAGACAGCAATCTATAACAGCACAGCATAAAAAAACTAAATCAAAGTGCTTGAACAACCCAGTAAAAGTCTGTGCATTAAGCTGATTAAAAAAAGAAGTGCAGGAAGCATGTTTGGAGAGAAAAGTAGACCAACATTTCCCAACATTAATGTGAGAAACTGACAAAGACAAACAGGGAATGACTGAGGAGAGATTTTGCTGTGCTTATGGAAGGTGTTGGACCATAGGATGAATCTGGTTATATTTTGTCTCATATTTTTTTAATTCATAATGACATGGTGGAATCTGTTGTTAGAACAAGCTTAGATTTAAATATCATTTTAAACATATTTCTAATAAATGTTTAAAATCATCAAACCCCAGAACGTAAAGATGGTACTCTTTTTTTTTTCCCCAAGCAGGCATTTATAAAATCATCTCATTATGATCTGATCTAAACTAATATATAATGATATAATATGATAAACATTATATGAATTAATCAGTTGTGTGATATTTATAGTGTTTAATTACAGATTACTTCCTCACCCCTTTTGCTTACAGATCTTACAGTTTTTCTCCCCATGGAGTAAAACTGTAAGATCCTTCAGACATATTCCAACAATTGATTAAAAATTATCTTTAAATTGCTTTTTCTGTTTTGGGTTATAACAGGAAAAAAAAAAGATCTTAAGTGAACTGGTACCCCTGCTCTGTTGACAGAAGTTTCTTCACTCTGCGCAGTTTTCTAAGAGTTGCATCCTGCTGTAAACCGTGAGCTGAATGGGAAAACATATGGCTACAGGGCAGACCTTGGTTTCCTGCTGGCTGGCGCTCATCGTCGGGGATTTTGGAGCCTCATCCTGGTCCCGTTCGTCCTCTTTGCCTCCGCTGTCGTCCTGGACTGCGTTAACCGGCGGAATCATCCTCTCCTTCTGCGCTCTGATTGAAAAAGCTGGTTTCCACTCCCCCAGCCTAAAACAGTCACAGCGAGCCTGAGATCCGTGCAAAAGTCACCCGAACAAAAGAGGCCAAGATCCGGGAGGAAATGGTCAGAAGAGTTAAACACGGGAAAGCGCTGGATGCTGATTTAAACCCCGAACTAAACTGCGTCTCTCTCCGGCTCCAGACTGTCGTGCGTAAACCTCCCGGACGTCTCCAAGAACACGCTGTGCGCCTCGCGCCGCCTGCTCAGGCGGTTTTAAAGGAAGACAGGACTAAGAAGGAGGAGAAACACAACATCGTCATTGCGTGTTGTCAAAATTTAGACTGCTGAGGCAAAACGCCCACAAATACAAGCTTTATAAGTCCACTCCACAAGGCTCTTTTCAGGAAACATACACGTCACTTATAATGACACATCTGTTTGGTCAAGGAGGTAAACTGTCAATCAATGCAGACCTAATGTTCTTCTGCTTTGCTCATTTCCAGTCCTTTCAGTAAAATCTACCTCAGAGAAAAACACTTTCCCTTTGGAAAGCCCAGCAGATGGCTGCTCACACTGAGCCTGGTTCTGCTGGAGGTTTCTTCCTGTTAAAAGGGAGTTTTTCCTCTCCACTGTCGCTGCAAACATTCTTAGTGTAAGGAATTGCCTTTGAGTCAATGAGTCAATGCAATCAGCTGTTTTTCCTTAGATAGAAAATTTTATCACTTTGACTGTATGATCTGGTGAACTGTGAAGTGCCTTGAGATGACGTGTGTTGTGAATTTAATTGAAAAACTAAACTGATGGTTCTACAATTTACCCTGGTCAGGTGAAGTAAAATTATTAATAACCTATCCATATAGTTAAGCTTGAGCTTGGAAAACTATGAATAGTCAAAAGCCAAAAAAAAAACACAACTTTTGTAGTATTCCCAGAAACTGTTGAGTTCAGTATTTTGTTTTTATTGTTTGCTTTATTTTGAAATAATGCTTTGGTCATTAATCATGTTCTGGCTGTTTATCATGTAGAGCAGGGGTCACCAATCTTTTTAAGGCTGAGGGCCACTTCAAGTGCACCGAGATGTAGGAAGGGCGACCATTACTGACCCATAAGCTGCAAGGGTTAGCGTTAGCCTAAACTTTGTTCATTATCAACATATTTTTATTGTTTCTGTTAATTTCTAAGTTTATTTAGACATTGTCATTTTGAAAATCTCTATAAATGATTAAAAAGAAGAGCAACAGCATAAAATAAAATTTCAAACTTAGCCCACTGGTGGGTTGTTCTTTATTAAGAAGACTCTGAGGGCCCCCCATGTGGTCCTTGAGGGCACCTTGGTGCCCACGGGCACCGCGTTGGTGACCCCTGATGTAGAGTAAAGTAGGATGAACTTCACAATCCTACGACTTGATAGGTGTGATGGTCACCGTATTGATGCGTCACACTGCTTCCCTCCAGGCTCCTTTGTGATGCAATGTCCTTGAAGTTATCTTGCAGGAAGAAGGAGGAAGGTGTCAGACTGCAGCCTCCTCACTCCGGTAGGACTGCAAACACCAACACAGCGTTCACTGTCAGTATAGCTGGTTTTACAGCTTATCCAGCATCTGAGGGTGAAGCGATATAGGAAGCAATCAGTATTGTTCTATGTGGAGACAAAGTAAGAAGGCAAAGGGGGAGACTTGAAATGACAAATGGTTCTGATAACTATATGTTCTGGGATGGTTACTGGTTTTTTCATTGGTTAAAAGAGTAATAACAAATGCAGTAGTTTGAAGCTGTTCTTAGAAGGCCTCAGAGGTTAGTTAGAGAATATTAGTGAACAAACAGCATCATGGAGACAAAGGAACACAGCATAAGTGTCTATGGGTTCTAAAGCTTTGATCATCTCCTAAAATTTACCTCTGTCCATTATATGAGCATGAAAAGAGGAAGGCACAACTGACACCAGGAGAGACAGTCTCAGTGAAGGCAAGTGAGTTTTTTTGCCAAATTGGAAGAAAACAACAAATATTTCATAACAAATGAATTCCCTATAATGCTAAAACCAATATGTCATTATTTATGCCTATAAATGACATTAGGAGGCTTAGAAAGCAGGATCTTTGACAGAGAAACCTGTTAGAGTTGATGGATGGAGCTACTTGGTAATCATGGAGGAACAAATTTCAGGGGCAGTAATGATGCTAGATGGCCCAGTCAAAGTCCAGAACTAAATCCACTTCAGAAACTTTAATTAGATGGAGGCTATCCATCCAAACTGACCGTGATGACTCTGAACAGAAGACCCAGTATTCAAGGCAAGACAGACAATGGGATAATTCAAAAAGCATCTATTAGAACTATGATCTATAATCTAGAACTATAATCAAAGTAGCAGCATTTAGGGCATCTATCACAGGAAACTGTGGTTTAACAGTTCAGCCCGTCTCCTAAGAACGAGGTAGGATCCATCCATGGGCTGCCAACAAGATGCGGTGGGCGCCGCGCAGAGTCTCACAGATGCTGCAGCCCCAGAGAAAAGAGAACCAGTGGTACTCTGAGGCAAGGTCAGGCAAACAGATTAGAACATAAACAGGTGGGTTCAGAGGTCCAGGGGTCAAAAGACAGTTCAGGCAATCCGTTCAGACAGGAACAGGCAGGCTCAGTGGTTGAGAGGCAGAACAGGTCAGGATCAGATAATCAGAAACACTGAGGTAAGCTAAAAACACTCTCACCACTGAGATCAGACAGGAACAGGGATCAATAAAGTCAATCAATCAACAGGCAGGCTCAGTGGTTGAGAGGCAGAACAGGTCTGGATCCAAGCACATTAAATACAGTAGAAGCAGGAGCAGGTGGATCATATGAGCAGTGATGAGAAACCGGGAAGGGTTAGACAGGTGAATGGAATTATAGTGAGTGTCAACTGAATGAAGGTTTTAGTTTTTCAGAGCTGTCAGAGACTTAACCCGAAAACACTCTCACATGAGAGTAAACATCAACTTCTCTTATACAAAGTACTGAGACCACTTCATAGTCATATGGTTTTATGTTGGTCTTATTTAACGTTTGTGGTTGCAACAGTGAAATATGTGAAAATTTCAAGGGTGACCTTTGGTTTTGCAGCAAATCATCACAGTTAACTGAAGCATTTTATTTTTTCTACACATCAGAGTCCAGGTGTTTTTTTTTTTATGGAGATAAGAAAGTAAGTTCTCTCCATGCAGAGAAAACACAAATGATCAAAGGTCTCATGATAATCCCACCATCTGGAGATGAGTTAAAAACTCCCAGAGTTAAGTTATTCACCCTCAGCTGCTGGACGTCACAGTGGAAAAGGACGTTAAGAGAGTGAAGAGAGGAAGATGGAGTGATGAGGGTGGATGGGACAGAGGACTGTAGTTATGGGGGTTAATTACCCAAAATGAAAGGTTTCATTTAGGCAGCGAGATGAGCCAAGTCGTGTCATTTCATGCCTCATGTCTATTCATTTGAGGGGTTTTTTCTACCTAGTATTTTCTATATCATTGTGCTGCCTAATAAAACATGACAGGTTCACCGTCCATCTAAGCACATAGCTATTTTGTAGAAATAATTTATTGGTGTTACTCTTAATTCGGTTTTAGTTTCTTTTGTAGTTTTTTTTTTTTTACATCTTTATATCCTTATTTTACTTGTTCAGGTATTTTGTTTGCATCAATTAAAACTTCAAATTTTTTCCAATGTCTTTAATCAAATCCAACTGAAATTTTCTTGTTTAAGCACATTACGTATTATTAAAATGGTTAACATGCAGTAATTCCCAGAGTAATGACAGAAATTAAGCCTTTAATTGTCTTTTACTTTTCTTATATAGTTTCATTAGTTTTTTACGGAAGAGGATTAGGGCCAGTGGGGGAAGAAAAAAAAAAGTTAACTGATTTTTAAATTTTATTTCAGTGTAGTATGGGGAAAAAAGTCAGAATTCTGACTTTTTTCTCAGAGTTCTGACTGAATTCTGACAATAAAAAATAGTCAGAATTCTGACTTTTTTCTCAGAGTTCTGACTGAATTCCAGTGATGGGACTAACGGCGTTGAAAGTAACGGCGTTACTAACGCCGTTACCTTGTTTTAGTAACGAGTAATCTAACTAATTACTTTGACTGTAACTATAACGCAGTTACCATTGCAGGCACCCCGTTACTGCGCGTTACTCAGGTCGCACAATGAACCTTTTTTCATGATAGGACTCGTGCGCAGCTGCGTGAAGCTGACACCCCACCCACGTCAAAAAACTCTGCAAATAGACTGAATGGTTAGTGCAACGTTAGTGCAGATTTGTGCAGAAAAAAATATTGTTTGTGCTACTTTTGTTTAAGAGATATTAAAGATTTATTTTAGGTCATCCAGAGGTGCGCGCCTTGTCCTGAGAGGGGAGGATGAGAATGGCTGATGAATAGTGAGATTCCGTCTGTCAGTTGAATAGGTGGGTGTTTCTGCTGGCGGGTGTTAACGTACAGCACACACAGAGAGATGGAGAGTGAGGATGACTCCAGCAGCAAAACAGCGTTTTCCACATGGAAATACCGGTGTTACGTAGAGCTGCGTTTCCCCATCACATAACGGTTTCCTCTGCATCTCCACACAGCGCAGGCGGCAAGAGTCACCGCGCAAGCGACAGGAAACGAGCATGCTCGCTAAAGGCGCGCAACAGTCGCCCTGTGCTCGCGCCACAGGAGAACTATGGAGAGCGTGAACGATCAAATGAACCTGACAACAGCCAGAAATGATAGCCTATATGGAGAAAGGGAGAAATCTGGATGGATGGTTGGATGGATGGATGAATGGATGGATGGATGGATGGATGGATGGATGGATGGATGGATGGATGGATGGATGGATGGATGGATGGATACTCTGCCTTCTCAACCTACTGTTTTTTTTTATTTTAAACATTATTTGATGGCCTTTGTGGCAGGGATGGAGATCCATATTTTATGTCACACACAGAGTATACATCTAGATAGATAGATAGATAGATAGATAGATAGATAGATAGATAGATAGATAGATAGATAGATAGATAGATAGATAGATAGATAGATAGATAGATAGATAGATAGATAGATAGATAGATAGATAGATAGATAGATAGATAGATAGATAGATAGATAGATAGATAGATAGATAGATAGATAGATAGATAGATAGATAGATAGATAGATAGATAGATAGATAGATAGATAGATAGATAGATAGATAGATAGATAGATAGATAGATAGATAGATAGATAGATGTTGCAGTATCTATAACAACCCAAACACACAGGATTTCAGAATTAGACATCCCCAGTTATTAATTTCATATACTCACCAGA